TTAAAAAATAAATAAAATAAAAACTTACAAAATGCCCCTCAAATCTACACACAGACACAGATGAGGAGCCTTCAAAAGGTTCATGGGAAAAAACCCAGTACCTTTTAATTCCATCTTTCCATGAACTTCTTCAAGCCCCTTCATCCACATACTAAATACATACACATACACACACACAATCTCTGAAAGGACACATAAGAATTTAAGATCATTTGGCTACCTCCAAGAAATATAGCTGGGAAACCTTCCAGTTACAGTTTAAAAAATTTTTTTAAATAGAAAAGTCTCTTTAAATTAACTTAAAAATAAATTAATAAATGACCTGATAAAAAGTGTTTTCAGATCTGTGAAAATACAATCTTCCGTTTGGCAACCTATAAAATGGAGATTAAGGCTAAAAGAGACAGTAACATAGGATGAATGGTTTATCACCTGTGTTCAGTGGCTGCCTTTAAAAGGTGGGTGGAAAAAAAAAAAAGGTGGTTGAGTGTCCATTGGGCACATCAGCCCACTTTTATTTCTTCAGTGTTTAGAGATATTCTAACTCAGGTTTTAATATTCATTTTAAAGTTTAGCACTCTTGAAAACCCTAATGAGCATTTTTACCCTTTTACATGGTTGATGGAATTAAGAATCAGACAGTGGGGTTTGGGGGTTTTACCATTATTAGCTGTGTGAGAAAGTTAACAACCCCTCGTCTCTTCTGCTTTTTGTTTTGTTTCCTTGTTTTAATTGGTAACGCTAGAAATAATACCATTTACTTTGAATGATCATCGTTAGGATTAACTTTTTTTTTTTTTTTTTAGGATTAACTTTTTAAGCACTTAGCACGGTGACCGCACATATAAATAAATGATAAAACCCAAACTCACTGCCATGGAGTCAATTCTGACTCACAGTGACCCTACGGGGCAGCCTAGGACTGACCCCCCCTCTTGGGTTTCTGAGGTTGTAAATCTTTATGTAGGTAGAAAAACCTCATCTTTCTCCCGCAAAACAGATGGTGGGAACTGCTGACCTTGTGGTTAGCAACCCAAAGTGTAAAGCACTACTATGCCACCAGGGCTTAAGTGCTGGGCTGCTAACCACAAAGTGTCAACAATTCACACTCACCAGCCACTCTGGCGGAGGAGAAAGATCAGGCTTTCCACTCCTATAAAGATTGACAGCCTCTGAAACCCCAGGGGGCAGTTCTACTTTATCCCATAGGGTTGCTATCAGTCAGAACTGACTCACTGCCAATGATTTCAATAAATGTCAGCTAGTGAAGGCAGGAGGGGAGAGAGAACACTAGAACTGATCATGATTGCACAACTCGTTTTACAGGCGATTGAACCATGGGGGCAGGGGAATTCGCTAGGATAGATGTGGTGGTGACTGTATAATTCCTCTTGATATGATTGAATGACTGAACTATTCAATTGTATAATATGTGAATTAGGTGCCAATAAAACTGTTGGGGGGAAAAGAAAAATAAATAAAAGCTAACAATTCAGACCCCCCCCCTTCAAAAACAATTTTTTTAAGACAGCTATTATTAAAACCTTATAGTTAACAGCCCAATGCTTAACCCACTGTGCCACCAATATTATTAAAACCATCTACAAGGTTATTATTGCAAAACTAAATGTTGCGATAAACCTTAAAAATATTCTTAAACTTTTTCTGAATTCCTTTAACTTACCTCTTAAGTTTATATCTATCCTGTCTCTAACTACACATGAACAGCTCTGAGGACGTCTTAATTTCTTTCAGAGACCCTAAAACAACTGGGCTTCTTATTCCCCAGAAAACATCTGCAATTTAGAAAAACATTTTAAATAACTAATCAAAAGCCCAATATAACTATCATCTCAACTCAAACCCCCCTTTTAATTACATTGAAAGAAAAGAGGAAAATAAAAAAGAAAAAAGATAAGCCCAGTTTTCATATCACTGATCCATACATTGGATTCTTCATGTAATTACTTTGTATTTTAGCTTAGTACCCTTTAGTTAATATTCCTTGAAAACAAAACTTTTGCAAACACCTATCAAAACGTATATAATTTTAATTGAAACAATTGCCCCATACTTTTGTAGCTACTATAAAAAAAGATAGAGTTTCTTACAAAAGGTAATTTTTTTGCCTTTTAATGTGACTTCCTAGTTAAAAAGTATTTTTTACCATAATGCAGATCAACATTTTAAGCAGACCATTAAGCAGACCATTTCTAAACTTTTCATTTTATGCCATGCAAAAACCTACTTTAGTGTCTGCACTATCATGAACTATCTTTATGTCTGTGAAAGCAAAATAATAACCATTACAACTTTACTCACAGGATTGTACTGAAGAGCAGAGACGTACGCTTGTACTGCCCCTTCCATATCACCAGCTGCTACCAATGCAGCTGCCAGGTTAATATAACCATCGATGAAATCTGGTTTGAGACGCAATGCATGTCGATAATGCTCAATTGCTTCCTGCAACTGCCCTCTTTCCTTGTACACATTCCCCAAATTGGAATAGGCTTCTGCTAGAAGAGGGTTCTGTTTAATTGCCAGAGTGCTAAAGTGAGCAGATCTGAAAAAGGAAAAAGTTTTCACGCATGGGTAAACATGTTACAGAAAGAAATCTGCACTGTCTGAAGATCCCTTGCTAATTGCTACGTAAAAATTATTAGGCACTGGTCCTTGAGTTGATTTTCGACTCACAGTGAAGAAATGTAGTAGAGTTTTCTTGGCTTAAATCTTTAAGGAAGCCACCAGGTCTTTCTCCTTTAGACTACCATGGGCAGGTTGAATTGCTCTACCAGGGCACCTCTTAAATAATAATACATTGTATCTTTCTGGTGCATTTAAAGAAATTTTGGGCGGAAAAAACATTTTTAAGAAAATTTTGGAAATAAAAATTACAAAAGTGAAAGCACTCCAAATTTCAAATTAGAAAGTACTTTCCATGAGATAAAATTCTTAGTCTATTACCAAATGGGCACATTGGCAGCCCTGACTGCTAATATCAAGAAGGAAGATGTTATGTGCATGAGTCTCATTTTCCATTTATTAATAAAAAGTAATACACCTTTAAATGTCTAAATAAACCAGAGAATTTATTTAAAAGAACAAAACTTCTTTTCATTTGATTAAATCAATTAGCTCAAAGTGATCCACTTTAACAACATAAAGACAGTCAGTACTTGTAACCTGAACCATTATTTACCTCCTACCACAATATATATGCCATCATTTCTGAGCATTTCAGTCCCTCAAGATTACATACCTTACAAGGCTTAGACCGTTCTCAGACATACATTAAAAATAATTCATTACCGGAACAGAATCAAGAAGGTAGTCGAACCATGTGTAAAAGTCTAAAAAGGTATCAAGTCGTGCTCAGGACATAGCCACCACCACAAAGGAGAAAAGCTGACACTTGGGCTGCCACATGTCACCAGTGGGCCAAGAAAGTAGATGTGAGTTGGTGGCTCAATTAAAACCCAGTATTAGAAAATTTCAAGTTCATATATTTCAGTATCATTTGTCAAGCTCGGCACCCAGAGGCAGCAATCACCAACAGGTACCCCCACATCTCCTACCTGTCCAGCCTTCGACACTGGAAGTGTATAGATGAAAGTAATAAAAGCACACCAGTATTGTCTGGCTCTTGTCTCCAGAGCTGCATGCAGTGTCTCTCAGCTGCCTCAAAATCTCCTGCCTGATATTCTCGATGTGCCAACTCAGCTAACCCTTGGAAGGAAAGCATACGTTTCGTTGGTTCTGGAGAATCATCAAAACATTTGAGGGAGGGAGGGGGGAAACAAAAAGTTAGAAATGCAAACAAAAAATGTAGAAATATGGTATATTAAACTTAAAAGATGAAAATGCTTGAAACACTGTAAAGCACCAGAGTGTTCTGCACGTTATTCATACGCCCAAGTTAACATCAGGTGCAGAATTGGTAGCTTAGATGTTTTACTCATTAATACTTTCCTTTCCAAAGTAGATAGAAATATTCAGTTCCAAATGATATTGAGGTTTATGGTCAAAAATACTTTACCATTATATTATAAACCATAGGTAACACCTAAAAATTACTAAACATTATTCTTATCTCTTAGTTAACATACAAAAACAAAACATTAAAGTGTGTGATCTGCAAGGTCATAAAGAGTTAATAATGTCAGAATAATCTACTGATTTTAGGTTGGTTCTGTAGGGTTAAAGAAGCTCTCCTGCTGGCACAGTGGTCAGCAATTGGAGCCCACTAGACTCTGCGGGGGTGGGGGTGGGGGTGATGACTTAAGCTTTGGAAACCCTAAGGAACAATTCTACAACATCCTACCTGAAAACTTACTGCCGTAAAACTGATTCCAACTCACAGCAACACTATAGGACAGAGCACAACTACCCCTGCGGGTTTCCAAGGAGCAGAAAGCCTCGTCTTTTTCCCACAGAACTTCTGGTGGTTTCGAACTTGTCCTTAGCAGCCCAACGTATAGCCCACTATACAAGCAGGACTCCATACTATGTCATACAGGGAAAATATGTTGAAATGGAGACAACTCCATGGCAGAACGCAGGAGGGGTTGGTACTAGTAATCTCTACCTAGGTGTGTTCTTACTCTTTCTAATACTGTTTATACATTTCACAATTTAAATTTTGCTAAGAGCAACTCCAGAAATTGAACATAAGGAATAAAACAAAATCAAGGTGCTACTTGTAAAATGGCTGAGAGCAAGATAAACACATATGTCAAGAACCAAAATATTTAAAGGGGGACATCCAAAAATTTAAATAAAGACCCAAGATTATACTGCTCTTTTACTCATCCCAAAATCACGTGGGAATTGAAGTGGCTAAATCATACCCACAGTTTTAACACTAGCATTTATCAAAGAGCTCTAGAACTGACTAAAGGATTAAGGCACTGCACACAACCCTATATACAGCAAGCAGTTACCTACAACTGTAATTGTTTGTTTGTTAAGGGGGGGAGGAATGCTGAAACAGAAAACACTTGATAAAGCTCAACAACCAAATGAAAACATTGTGCTCCACGTAATGTGGCTTAATTCAGATAAGGGGTATAGCAAAAGCCCAAAAACAAGTGGGGGAGGGGGGGCAAGCAAGCTGCCCAACTCTCAATTATAAACATTTATCTAAACCGCAATCTATTACTGGGAATTTGACCAAGCACTTTCTTTAACAATATGCCTAGATCTATCTAGATGGTTGAAATGGGAAGCCATGGACAAAGGGCTTATAAAACTCTACCAAGGTCACAGTGACACTCAAATTTAAGCCTATCACCCCAATCACTCAAGCTCCTGTATGTTCTGAGTACTAGGCAAGTAAATTTCCTTCAGCAAATAGGCTCACATGTAAATCTGGGGGAGTTTAATATCTCTAATAGAAACTAAAAATTTACACTTTAAACCAGTCTCCAGAACTTCCTAGCAAAGTATTTTAACACATTCCTTTGACATTTTCAAAGCTGCTTATCTGCTACTTTAACATATGAAATGACGACTTCCTCAAATGAGATAATACACACAGTAAAGGGCACGCAAACAGAATCAGACTCTTAAGTCTTTAAGAGTCACCATGGGTGCAAAGAGAAGGGGATCACGATTGATCCCACTACCTACGATTGTAATTATTATTGAACATTCACCTATTACTTACAAAAAGAACAAATAAAACCTTTGACACATTGGAATCAGTAAACAAAAAAAAACGCGTGGGAAATCTTCGAACTACAGGCCAATTTCCCCTCCCTCCCGCCCTCGCCGATGCCCTCGCCCTCGCCCTCGCCCTCCCTGGCTCAATATGGAAAGACAGCTGAAGGAAACTCCTAGAATTTGATTGGGTTTTTGTTTTCGTATCAAATGCTTTCCACTGAATTGTCTAAAAGGGCAACTGCCTTGCACTTGTGCAGCTACACTCCAGTTGCTTTACAAACTCTTCAAGCAGGGGTGAAACGGAAAAAAAAAATGCATGCCCTACTAAAGAAAAAAAAATGAGATACTGGGCAAAAAAGAATGGGGCTGGAAGACGAATAGCCAGGACGGCAGGGGCGGCGGGGGAGGAAGGCGGTGAGAAAGAAACACAAAGCGAGAATTCAGTAGCAGGATGGTCAAAGCGAGCCGGTCTCTCCAAGGGCTAAGAACTGGACCGCAAGGCAGGCAACCTTTCCAAGGAAAGGGTGTGGTTCCCCGCGGGAGGGAAGGGGGACTAGAGTGGGAAGTCCGCGCCGGGGACGGCGTGTAGAACTGGGCGACAGCAAAGGGAACCCCTGGAATTTTCCAATCCGAGGCAGGGCCACGCAGTTCAATGAGCACTAGAATGGCACAGCCCAGCGGGGTGCTGCCCAATTCCCCGCGGCTCGGAATCCTAGTAGTGACCAGCGAGTTTCCGCTCCTCTGCGGGGGGTGACGCAAAGTGGAGAAATGATTACATCCCACAGGCACCCCCGGCCTACACGGCCAGGAAGGACCCCCGCCTGGCTAAATGGGGAGGGTGGGAAGAGAACGTGGAGAGGTGACAGAGGGCGGTGGGCTGGAATTCGGCGAGAAAAACAGGGTGAGGGTGCAATAAAGAGCAGGGGTTCCAAAGCACTGCACTCTCCACGCGCACGTGTGTGCTAGAGGAGTCGGGGGCTGCAAAGCCGAGGAGGAGCACTTCTGGCATTAAGAAGCAAGAAAAGGAGCAAAACAAATGAAAAGGGCAATGCTTGCGGCAGGGACCGAGGAAACACCGATCCGATGTTGGAAGCACGCGCGCAGCTCAGCAATGCCACTGATGTAATGGGGGTGGCTAGGGGGAAGGGAGGGGGCTGTGAGACGCAAAGAACGGCGCGAGACTCAATGGGCGTCTGCAAAGGTAGAACGGGACACCAGTACCTGTGCTGTCGGCCACGTTGCCCACGGAAGACGCCATCTGAAGCTTCTTAAGGGAAAGCGAGAAGGGCGTAATGGAGTCCCGCCGCCGCCACTGGTGGCACAGATCGCTCCTGGAGGTAGTGGTAAGAGGGCAGCAGCTGTACCAGTTGCTCTGGAGAGATTAAGCAGCAGTAGCCGTTACAGGTTTCGAATCTTAGGGACCCGATTTGGCCATTTACCTTCACGGTCTTGAAATGGCGGCGACGGCTCCTTGGCCGAAACAACACGGGCCGGAACTACTTTCTGTTGCAATCAAGTACCAGAGCGGAGGTAGCGCGGTAAGCGGCTTATCCAAATGCCGAGGATCAAAGTGTATTGCTCTTATGTAACCTTCCGCGCAGGACACATTGCGACAAACACGATTGTGTAGAGAGCGCATGCGAGAAACGCTGTCAACTGGTTGTGGGATACACAGTCTAGGGCAAGAGCACCCAAGTTTGATTTTGTTTGATTTTGTTTTCAGTAGTGAAGGATTCCGTTTGTAAAGTCCATGCATGTGTTTCATACATTTTTGCCTAAATAATAGTGTTACCAATAATGTAAGCTTTCATATAAATGCCAAAGGAAATTTTTTTAATTAACTAAATAAATGCCAAAGGAATCTAAAAACGTTTAATCAATATCTACGCAAAAGTGATAGTTATAAAACTGATGGTTTCAAATCATGGATCAATTCTAAGCAAGTAAATATTAGCAATTTTATGTATATACCGAAATGCAGAGCGATGACAGAGGAGGTTCCAACCTGAACATGTCTTAATTCTGAAACCAGACATTGATAAAAGTGACTGATACTTTCGCTGAGCGAAATAAAAGCAAACTTCACAGATTTGAGCCATCTCTCTCGAAATTGCATAGTTGTTTGGGGAATACCGGAGCGTTCTTCTCACAGTAATGGGGCATATGTCCATGCTTAAGGAATCAGGTACATTCTATAAGAATTTTAACTCCAAAGTCACTCATAAAAATCATTAAGTTAAGGGAGGAGACCAGCCAGTCAGGTTGCGATGTAGCAACGATGAAACATACAACTTTCCTCCAGTTCCTAAATGCTTCCTCCCCACCCACTATCATGATCCCAATTCTACCTTACAAATCTGGCTAGACCAGAGGATGGACACTGGTACAGACAGGAACTGGAAACACAGGGAATCCAGGGAGGATGATCCCTTCAGGACCACTGGTGAGCATGGTGGTACCGGCAGGGTGGAGGGGAGGTGGGGTAGAGAGGGGGAACCGATTACAAGGATCTACATATAACCTCCTCCCGGGGGGACGGACGACAGAAAAGTGGTTGAAGGGAGACGTCGGACAGTGCAAGATATGATAAAATAATAATTTATAAATTATCAAGGGTTCATGAGGGAGGGGGGAGCGAGGAAGGAGGGGAAAAAATGAGGAGCCAGGGGCTTAGGTGGAGAGCAAATGTTTTGAGAATGATGAGGGCAATGAATGTACAATTGTATGAGCCCCTAATAAACTGATTTTTTTAAATCATTAAATTACTCATATGTGCCCCAAAAGCCATGGTGCTTTTGAGTTGTGAGTGCATATCCACCAAATAGCTCTGCAAATCATCAGTCTGTGATTCCACTGAGTTTAACACAGTTCAAAAAAGATACATGAATTCACCTGCAATCTGCCTAAACCACATAGCTAGATACTGAATTACCTTTGCTTCCTTAAACAAATCAGCTCTTATGATCCTACTGCTGTTTCAAGTCCACTGTTCAGACACATTGCTGCATTAGTATTCATTTACACGTATCTTGTTTCAGGAAAGATTTAGAGCAGTTTGCCTTAAATTATACTAATTTCAACAAGAAATTAATATAAGCCATTGGAGGCCACATTTTTTTATCTCTCAGCATCCTTCATTTTAAAAAATTCTGGATCTAAGAACACAGGTCAGTTAAATTCTTCAAAAAGTTTTTATATCCATAATTAAACAGTTCGGGATGTCTGAAAGAAATTGAACACACACACGAAGGGGACGGACAACAGAAACGTGGGTGAAGAGATACAGCAGATGGTGTAAGATATAAAAATAATTTTAAAAGATATAAAATAATAATTTATCAAGGGTTCTCAAGGGTGGAGGGGTGGAGGAAGGAGCGAAAAAAGAGGAGCTGATACTAAGGGCTCAAGTAGAAAGAAAATATTTTGTAAATGATGGTGGCAACATATATACAAATGTGCTGGATAAAATTGATGGATGGATTTTTATAAGAGCCACCGATAAGATGATTTGTTTTAAAAAAATTAATTGAAGAGTTCAAGAAATATATTTTTAATATAGTCAAGTGGATGAGCATAGAAAAAAATCATATGATCATTTCTTCCATCACATAATCAAGAGTCTCATCATGAAGCGGAAAAAAAGTTCACTGCCCAAACTCTTCTGGAAATTAGGTACCAACCTCTCCTCTTCATTGGATTTAATTGGCAATGTCTTTTTTTTTCTCCTCTCACTAAAAGTACCCCATCTGTGGGGAATAAACTCACCTTTTCAATTTTTAAATACACTTCTCAAATTCTATTGGCAAATGTTTGAGTCTAACTGATTAATGACTGTAAACTAAGTACGTAAAACTCTTTATCTTGGTAAATGACAGATCAAGCCACCTGCATTTGATATTTTGTGCTCTAATATCCTGAGAAAAGAATCAGATGTTATGATATAATTTGTTGCTAGGGAAAGTTCACCTGGGCTCAATAAGAAATAAACCGTTTTGGACTCTTAAAAACTCCATTCCAGGTACCTTCTAGAAATTGCATCTGGAAGGTTTAGTTTTAAGTCATCAGATAACACACCTCCAACTGATCAAGTTATTATTACTAGTGTGTGTATAAGGTACTGGGAGGTGCAGGAACACGAAAATGATCAACATGACAAGATCATTGCCCTTAATGAACTTGAAGCCTAGCCACTAGAGAACAACAAAACAGAGTATTATTTAAATGATAAAATATGTGTGTCTAATTGCCTCCATGAACAACTGCTTCCTTTGCCCCCCCAAAAAAAAGGATGGTTTCACATTAAAAAGAATAAAAAGAACTAGATGTGCTTAGCTATCAGTACTAAACATTTGATCAAAAACCCTATGCAAAAATCCTTATCAGACAGGTTAAAAGCTAGAACAACATTTTGAATTCTTATATGATACTTTCTGAATCCCATGGAAGCTGGAAGACCTTTGAAACTATTGCCCTAAAGTAACCTTTAAGCCTTGAACCAGAAATACCCCTAAAGGCTTCTGGAAAACAAACAGTGGTTTAGCATAACTAGTAAAGGATGTCTGCCTCAAGTACTGGGGTTTTTAAAATCCATCTATAATGGATCAAACTGACAACTTGAAAGATTAGAAAGGAAATTTAGGGGGCAATGAGTTTATGTTAATGAAGGAGGAACAACTCAGAAAAGGAAGGTGAGAATGGTGGCATAGCCTGAGGAATGTCATCAATGTCACTAAATTATACATGTAGAAATAATTGAATTGGTGTGTGTTCTCAACAACAGCAAGTTGTTTTAATGATATTCCTTTCTAACAATACCTGGGGTGGGAGCAATCACTTCAGGCTGCAGAGAGTGAGGGAGGTCTGAGATGGGCATTTGTATATTCTCTTTTATAGATTTAGTGCTCTTTTTCTTTTCTTTTCTCCCATATGTATGCAATTTTTTTTAATTTAGAAATCAGCTGATTCTTAAATTCCTATCCACCTTGGCCACAATGATAACTCCATTGATAGTATATTAGTTTTCTACTGCTGCATAGCAAATCACCACAAATTTAACAGCTTAAAACAACATACAGTACATTTGGACAGTATCACCAGAGTTGGCCCAGCACAGCAGCACCCACCACCACTGCAGGTGGCACATGCTCCAACAATGAAAGGAAGCTAGGAAATTACATCCAGGTGGCATTGCAACCTCTCTGGAGCTTTGGGAATAATATGACAGAGGAAAATTGGTTCTTCTGAATTAGGTAACCAGTCATAGTGAAGAAAAGTAGTCTGACAGAAAAGTTTAACATGCGAAAAAGAAGAAACGGATGACAAGACAGTACAACCATGATCATTAGCTAGTGGTTTCCATTAAAGAAAGGAGCTCTGGTGGCCCAGAGGTTAAGACCCCAACTGATAACCAGAAGGTTCAAGCCACCTGTCACTCCGTAAGAGAAGGGTGTGGCAGTCTGCTTTACAGCCTTTGAGAGCCTATGGAACGGTTTTACTCTGTCACCAGGTTGCCGTGAGTGGTAACCCACTTGAAGGCTACAAATTTATGGTTAAAGATACAACCAGTCAGAAGATGAATAGGAAACAGGGTAGAAATCATAGCTCAAACACTGAAAGCCTGGTGCATATGTTTAAATGGTCGTGTTCTGGGAAACAAAAGCAGAAAGTCAAGGACAGCAACACCCTCTGTGACTTCTGTAGTCAAAGATAACTTTTTCTTCACCTCAGCACCAAAAGTCTTCAAAGATGAGAGAGCTCAAAGAGTAATAAGTTCTATTTTTCTCCACAATCATCATTATAGTCCTAACACTTGACCTCGTTGACCTGCAGGCCCTGCAGCTCAAAATAGAGCTGAGAGTCAAAGCTTTGGTCTATTATTCTTTGAGTTCAAGTCCAGCACTGAATGGAGTTAGAAAGAGTTTTCATGATCTTTAATCTGAAACTATGCCAAGAACAAAATACTTCATTAAAGGGTTCATAATCTCCAAATGAACACTTGTATCTTCACCTTGAGGTGAATATGTGCCTAAAGTTACTGGACAACATTCAATATATTGTGTTGTTGTTGTTGTTCGGTGCCATCGAGGTGGCTCCAACCCATAGCAACCCTATGCACAACAGAACGAAATGCTACCCGGTCTTGCAGCATCCTCCCAGTTGTTCCTACGCCTGAGCCCATTGAGCCCATCCATGTCATCGAGTGCCTTCCTCTTTTTTGCACCCTTCTACTTTACTAGACATGATGTCCTTCTCCAAGGACCGGGCCCTCCTGAAATAGGTCCAAAGCATGTAAGACCAAGTCTTGCCATCCTTGCCTCTGAGGAGCACTCTGGCCTGACTTTTGTCCTTTAGCAGTCCATGCTACTTGCAACATTCTTCTCCAGCACCACAATTCAAATGCATCAGTTCTTCTACAGTCTTCTTTATTCAATGTCCAACTTTTTAACATACATAAGATGCAATG